GAGAGAGAGAGAGAGAGAGAGAGAGAGAGAGAGAGAGAGAGAGAGAGAGCAGGTAAGTCTCCAACCTCGCGGCTGGCCTCCTGGTACTTCCATCGGTAGGATGAGAAAAATCGAATGAATCTACCGCCAGAACATGGAAATATACAGTGTGCTATCAAATGAATCTACCGGTAGAACATGGAAATGTAAATTGCGCACACGCTCGCAGCACACCAGACGTGCGCAGCGCACACTTTGCACCCAGATGCGCGGCGCGTGCCGGTGCGTGCGCACCTCAGGTTCGCGCACAGCGCACCGCGCAGCGCACAGTGCTGGTGCGCCGCAAGTATGGAGTATAGCTTAAGAAAAAATAAAATAAAAGAGTATACAAAGAAGATTAGCATGAGCCCTGCAAAAGGATGACACACTGCCGTCCACTCGGACCACCTCCCAACCATAATGGGGACGAGTCTTGCGTGAGTGAAACTTTGTACTCCTTTTGACTTGCCGGCGGAAAAGGAACCGGACTGACGCTCCCCAGAATGGACATGGAGCCAGAACCTAACGGCTCTGTTTTTTGTATTAAAAAAAAAAAAGAAAAAAAAAGGGTCCAAGTCTCCAAGAGGAGAATAAAATCAGATTCAATGCGGTCTCCTGAGATAGATGCTGAGAGCATTCAGTTGCGAATGACAGGAAGGGGCTCTTGTCGGCTCACTCCTCTGCTTTGTGGCTTGGAGGCTCTTCGAGTAGCGAAAGTGATCGGGCCCTGTGGGTCTCACCTCGGAGGTGGGTTTTGAATGCGAGGTACTGTGTTGGCTTTCAATGCGACAGTGGAATCTTTTGGGTGGGGGGGGGGGAAGAGGGGGGGGAATCAGATTCAATGCGGTGCCAAATGGAAGCTAATCCTATCTGCTGACTGGTTCTATTTATCCACTTGATGACAGGTTGCACTCCGTGCCTGGCTGCAGTACAATTTTGGTTCCGTAACAGAAATGTTTGAGGACAGATATCAATTGTGGACTTTCAGTAGGACAGGGGAGAGAGAGAAGGAGGTCACCAAAGAAAGGAATGGCCAAAGTAGAGGATTGATAAGCTGGAAGATTTTCAAGTCTGGCCGGTCTGGGAGCGGTCAGCCATCTCAAGGGAGCGACTCTGCGCAGGACGATGACAATGGCAGCGCTGACATTGTCCAAATTTTCAAGCGTCAGATGGCAGCACGGAGAAGCAAGCAGTTAAGAGCTCTACGGGGGTGGTATGTGTTCTTTGCCCCATGTACGGATCGCACCGCATTGCCGATCTTGGGAGAATCGACCTGAGTGGTGGGATGGGGCAGTGTGTTTAGACCCTTTGGGGAAAATAGGTCAAATACTGAACTAGGCTCAACTGGCTGCAAAAACTTACTTGTGCCTAGCTCAGTTGGGATACCCAATGAACTGTTGAAATACAGACGCACGTTCGAATCCAATGAACTGTTGAAATACAGACCCAAGTTCGAATCCAGCTGCAATCAGATGAACAGAATAAAATAATTCTGAATTACATGGGACCGGTCAGCTCAATGATAACATCTCAAGGCCGACGCCCTTTGGAAAAAAGACAGGAAGGCAAAAAAAACTTACTAGTCATGACAATATCATGGATGTCGACGTCAAAATGTACCTGAATGGTATTAATGCAGGGGGGACTGGGGGGCAGTTCAGGAGGCATACTATAAGGAACTTTCAGAGACGAATGAATTTTTTCCTTTTTGTTTTCCTCCTCTCGACCAAACACCCTTCGCCCTTCCCCCTTCCTCACATTGGCATGCTTGATTGCTGCTTTTACGTGTCTGTTTTTCTGTACCTCGCCCTCCCTTCGCCTTTCCCCTCACATTGGCATGCTCATGATGTTTTTTTTGCATCTGTTTATCTGTACTTCACCCTCCCTTCAACTTTCCCCTCCACAGTGTTCCTGTCACTCTTGTCGCCTCATCCTGCTGCAGACGCCCTTCACCCTTTATCTCCCTTCCCTCCCTTCCCTCCCTTCGCCTTTCCTCTCCACAGCAGTCCTTTCACTCCCGTCTTTTTATACTGCCTCAGACGCCCTCTGCCCTGCAATCAGACTCGCTTTCATTCACACTGTACATGCATGCAAACAGTAGCGCGGCAAACTGGCGATATGCGCCCACGCAGTACTCAGCGATATGGCAACCCAGATACGAGTTCACTTCCAATGACTGTGGCGAAATAGCGCCCATACAACTCTCTTTTCGCATACAATGGATCACCCTGGATATCCCACACGCTTCTTTCTGAACGCTCACACACACACACACTGAACACTAACTACAGCTATGGCGGCTATGGCCGCTGCTACCCTATCGCTATGGCTAAGATTCGTCTTCTCCTCCCACTTTGTCTTCGGGCTCACTGCAGACCTCCTTGCACAAGTCGCTGTGGCAGTGCTTCCGCATGGCTCACGCAGGAATGAATGAATGGCTGGGCGCTGCCTCTTGATTTATACTTCTGCAGTGTGTTGGTCTGGCCCCTTTCCCAGGCCCGAAGTGCACACAGTCCCATGCGGTACTTGCTTGACTGGACTAGAACTGGGACTGCTGACTCATCACGGGCAGACTCCACCACTTGCCTCACCACTTGCCCACTTGCCTCAGGCTAAGCGTGGGACACTCCGAAAGGTCACTCCTCAGACCTTTCGGAAGGCCGTAAACTTGGCCTTTCGGTCCTGTAGCGGCTACGACTTTGACCCTTCTGGACTGTAGCAGCTACGACCCTGACTCTTCGAGAAAGCTATAGCTACGACCTCTGGACCTGACTAGGACTCCTATTCGACAGGTCTACARATCGAACCCTGGCTACCTATGGACCCTACGACAATCTATCAACTGTTACAAATACACAGGTCGCGGGTTCAACTCTGCGGGTCGACACAGGTAAGGTGGGGGCTAGGGATCGAGCCCTGGGATCTGCATCAGCTACTGCGAACTGGTGAATACCGTTTCACTCCTGCCGGCCTAAATTCGAGGTCCTCCGAGAATAACTTAGTCCAAGGCAGGACCTTTACCTCTTCGATCTCTCTCATAGGCTCTAACTATATTGGGAGCTGTTTCTAGAAGTTCTGATCTTGTGAACCAGCGGTCATCCTCCGGCTCCTGATAAGCAAACCGGACTTTATACTGTTTTTGTGGATGACCTCTACCTCCTGTTTTGAACACATCCTCGCCTACAATGCCGTCAATGTCATATCTTCCGTCCATGTCTGGAGGGATCATGGACCGTCTAGATGGGAACTGTTGACTTGTGGCACACGACAGCAACTTTGACACGTGGAACACAGGGTAGGTGTGGAGGTGTGCTGGGATCTCTATAGTGTAGGACGGTCCATCCTCTCCGCCCTTAACTTCTAGAATTGGCCATGGTCCTCTATACGCGGGCAGTAACTTCTGCGAGATGTTTTCCTCAGGTGCAAACTCTTTAGACTTGACCCAGACCAGGTCGCCTACCTAGAACTGCGATGGGCGACGGTGCTTATTAGCCTGTTCTATCATTCGGTGTTGGGCCTTCCTGAGGTTCTCAACAACAGTGGCTATCTCTTTCTCATGTTGCATTGCGAACTCCTTAGTACCGGGCGGTAGCCTATGAATCTGATCCCGGTTAAGCCCCTCAAACGGTCTGCGCGGTCTAAAGGACTTGTGCAGTTCATTGCGAGTGCGACAGGTGGACAAATGCACGCTGTTATTGTATGCACTAGCTACCTTGGGTAACATCTCGTCCCAGTTGATCTGATCGGGTCTAATGTACATGCGCAGAACTTGCTGCAGGATCTTGTTCATTTGCTCGGTCTGACCGTTAGTCTCTGGATGGCAGCCAAACGACATCATCAACTTAGCCCCATAGACTCGCATCAACTCCTGCCAGTTCTGGTTAGTGAAACGACTATCTCTATCACTGACTATTGACAACGGGACTCCATGTTCACTAACCCAAAAATCAAAGAACTTTTGTATCACTAACTCTGTGCACGCCTCTACGGGCAAAGGAACAAAAATAACATACTTGCTAAACCTATCAACTACGACCATGACTTGGCTCTTGTCGTGCCTACTCTTGACACCGGCATCCATGAAGTCATTGGAGACTGAATCTCCAGGCTGGTCTGGAATGGGCAAGGGTTTGAGAAGACCTAGAGGGGCACGCGTTGTGGTCTTGTTCCGCTGATAGACTTTACAACTGCGGACATACTCTATGCAGTCAGTTTTCATTCCTGGCCATATGTACGCGTGCATAAGATTGGCTAAAGTCTTTTGCCAACCGAAGTGTCCCTCTGTATCATGGCATTCCCCTAGGATCAGACTGCGGATCTCCTCACTGTTGGAAATGCACAGGCGGTCTACTACATTAGTCTTCTCGAATAACAAACCCTCTGTAGTGCGGTAATGTGGCTCATTCTCTGGGGCCTCCTTAACTCTCTTGAGGAGGTCACTAAAGATAGGGTCCTGTGCATACGCTTGTCTAACTTTTTCCTGCAGGTCACTCCCTATGTCCAGATAGTGAACTATGGCTCCAAAGTAGTCTGATCTCCTACTCAGAGCATCCGCAACTACATTGTACTTGCCCTTAACTGGCTTGAGCTCAAAGTCATATTGGTCTATTTCTGCGGCCCACCTAGTCGACTTAGGCGTCATCTTGGCCTGTGTTTTTAACCATCTAAGCGTCTCGTGGTCTGAATACACTTTGAAGTGGCTCCCAAGCAGGTAATGCTTTCAGTGCTCTAAAGCCTGCCTGAGAGTGTAGAGTTCTCTCGCGTACGTCGAGGTAGCAACCTTCTCTGAGGGCATCCTCGCTGACATGAACTCTACGGGTTTGTAGCCATTGCCGTCATCCTCCTGCAACATGGCGCCTATTCCATACTGACTCGCGTCTGTGGTGACGACAAATGCCAAGGACGGATCTGCTACCTTGAGGACAAGATACTTTATCAATGCGCGCTTTAGTTTCTTTAGCGCAGACGTACAGTCTTTATCCCATTGCCAAATTGTCTCTTTCTTGAGCAACTTGTGCAAGGGAGTGGCGATGGTAGAGAAGTTCCTCACGAACTTCCGGTAATAATTGGCTAAGCCCAAGAACGACCGCAATTCTGTCAATGTGCGGGGCGTCGACCAGTCTCTAATTGCCGCTATCTTACTGTCCTCAGGCTTGATCCCATCTCCGTCTAATACGTGGCCCAAGTACAAAACGTGCGTCTTGGCCCACTCACACTTCTTCGCGTTGATCTTGAAGTTAGCTTCTCCGAGCTTCTCCAAGACCTGCCTCAAATGACCCTGGTGCTCTTGGAGGGTCCTACTGAAAACTAAGATGTCGTCTAAATATACTACGACGAATCTATCTAACCATGGCCTAAATAGGTCGTTCATACATCGCTGAAATGTGGCTGGCGCATTGGTCAGTCCAAAGGGCATCACTATGAACTCATAATGCCCATAACGAGTCCGGAACTCAGTCTTGTACTGGTCATCAGGGTGAACTTCTATCTGATGGTAACCGAACTTCAAATCTATCTTGGAGAAATACTTACAACCCTGCACCCGATCTAAGAGATCGTCTATCCTGGGCAGTGGTTCAACATTCTTGATTGTAATAGCATTCAGACCCCTATAGTCTATACACATACGCACTCTCCTTCCTTCTTGGGGACAAACAGAACTGGTGCTCCAAAAAGAGACGAACTGGGCCTAATCCAACCTTTCTCAAGGAGCTCGTCCAACTGTTTACGCAGATCCTCTAACTCTCTAGGGGACATCCTGTAGACTGCTCCCTTAGGAGTTCTACTGCCAGGCTCTATCTCTATCCTGTGCTGGATCGGCCGCGACACTACTCCTGTCAGCGGCTCAGAGGATCCTTAAACTCTTCCAGCAGCTTGGCAATGGCTGGATCCGTGGAACTATCCTCTTCCTTAGGCTTAGTGACAGGTCTAACATACACGATAAAGACCTGATCCTCTAACTGCTTCTTTCTCACTAGTCGCGCGGACGCGGGAGCACTGAGACAGCAATGTGCCAGCGAGTTGTCTACTCTTGACACATGGAACAGACGGCTCGTCTTAACCTCGCCAGACGGAGTAGGGAGCCTACACTCATGCTCTCTCAAGTGGAGTGTGCCCCCTGCTGCCTCTCCCCAGTCCATGCCTAGGACTATGTCAAATGGAAGGTCATCGTGTACGAGGAGAGTCAGGGAATGGAGAACTTTCTCCACCTTC